GGGGGGGGGTAGAGAGAGAGAGAGAGAGAGACCGTGCTCAGTGAATTTCATGCAATGCAGAGCCTTAACTAAATGAGAAGGGGGGATTTAGGCCCCGGATTTAGAGTTTATCACCACATGTGTGTACACTTTCAGCAACACGAACATAATAGAATCCATTATAATAATAGCAATGGAAATAGCATAGAATAATAATGTGTGTGTTTGCGTTGTCAGTAATATCAGCTCTATCAGGCATAATTCTCGCACACAAAATTAAAATGTGTCATTAATTTGTTCTTTATTTTACAAAAACGAAATGTATAATGGTTGGTTGGTGGGTGGTGGAGGGTCTCAGCACTACTGGGCTTTACACCGTTTTGGTGTGCAGTAACCGGAGACAAAGGGGACTGTGCGCCTTTGGATAGATCACTTGTGACATTAATGGCTCAGGGGAGCCTAATAGAGACAATAGGAGTTAAACGAACTCTTGAGATTACTAATATAAGAAGCCAATTATCATGTTGATGCGCTGATAGACAGACTCAAAATAGAGAGAATCGGAAAAAAAGAAAAATCTAGTCTGTGACCTGACAAAACGCGTTTAAACATTACCGTGAAAAGGGACTCCAAGTGTTGTATATTAACAATATAAAACATATTATTATCCAACATGAATTTTCCAAGCAGATTCCCTCCATAAATGGCACAGTAACACCCTGCACACACTGTAGGCCTACGCTTCAACTTCCATTTTAAATTTGACCATGCAGTGTGATTGCAGCTATTGGCTTTTCAACCACTGAAGTCTATGGGACTGAATCTTTGACCATCAATACCCACGGCCTACAAAGCCCAGCAGCCCTACTCATCTCCCCGCTGCTCTGAAACGCTGACAGTAAATTCCATCAGCGAGAAAAAAAGGTGCAGCCAGTTTGATGCACTTGGAAAGCATGTAATGAAAAATAGGCTACTGCGTATTAGGATCAGTCAGGCATTACCGCATTGCATCGAGTTCTCTGGAGCAGAATGGTGTGTGTGCATGTGTGTGTGTAGCAGAAACATGCATGATATCTCGGAGGAAAATTGCTTACCTTTCTTAATTACAGTCTGGTCGGAAATGTGAATTCCTTGATCGTCAACAGACTATGGCAAAAAATGAAAAAAAAGAGAATTTTAGCACAAAAGGCAGGGACATTTTACCTCACAATGCAACTCGAACAAAGCCTGGCACAATTAGCGGACACAATCACCATGGAGGCTCTCGAGGCCCATACCTGTTATTATTGTCCATGTTTTTTCAGCGGGTTGCACTAGATCACAAACTCAGACTTAAATAAAGAAGCTGTGTCGCCCCATAATCCTGACCTAATTTCGCCCTCATATTGGCTCTACTCACAAGGAAACTTCTAATCTAGATTGGATAGTAATTACGGCAGCGCAGCCTATTAAAGGCCTATGAACTAATTAGAGGATTATTGGTGTTTGTTTCTGATTAAAAACTGGGAAGAATCCTCTAAATAAGAATAAGGGTTTTGGACAATTTTAGCTCTCATTTATCATGCATCTTTAGTAATCGTGAGCTATTACCTTAAACTCAATTTTCCTGTTAGTGCAAGCTATGTTTTATAATGTAATTGTTCGCAGACATCGGCGAGCTTCAGCTGTTTTTAAACTGAGAAATCAAATTAAATCAGAGGACTTAAAAAGGACGTAAATGGCACATTTCTTCTGTTTGCTTTTATCTGTTTATTTTAATTAGATTTAAGAGATAATATTAATAAATAAAATAAAACGAGAATTAGACGACTGACAACATGTGTAATATTGAATGTTTACAAAGTGATAAACCTTTTCATAAATGGAAATAACGATGCATAATTAGGATATTTTTATTAGAATTACAATAACATCTCAGGAAAAAAATGTCATGCTATTTTTTCAGGTAGCAAAAAACTGCTAATTTAATCCTCTGTAATCCTTCTTATATTTATTAAATTAATACCCTAATAATGTTAAAACATATTATATATGAATAGGAATTTTGAAATGGACATTGACATTTGATGATTCTATTAAAATTTAAATAGCACTATTAGTTTTTTTTTTTTAAATTGTAATATTAGTTCAACTCGTAACAGTAGTCCCTAACATTAATAAGAAATGTGATTTTTTTTAACAGCCCAAAGAAGAGAAATGCTTCCTCACCCCAACGTCGTCTAAAGAGTGAGGTATTCCATGGATAGGGATAGAGTCCGACAGTCCCGTGTCGATTCCGTGGCCGGACGGAAGCAGCACTTCCCTGCGGTAATCCCGGCACAGCTGGTGGGGCAGGCTGCGGTGCTGGTGTAGCAGGCCGCTGTCCTGGCTCTGCCTCTGGCCCGGCCAGCCCGGGTGCTGCTGCTGCTGCTGGGCGTGCAGCGAGTTCAGGGAGTACGGGTCGTTGACGTGCGAGTAAGGGTCCTGAGACTGCGGGTAGATGGGCTGGTAGGGAGGGGGGAAGTACGGGGGCTGGAAGTCCGAGTTCGGTGTGTGGGAGAGCGGAGGGGCGCTCGTGTAGGGACTCTGACCCACGCCGCCCAGCTGAGGTAGCCTGGCTGTCCCATTGCTGGTGCCGTCGTGACGGTCCTGGAGGAAGAAGGAACGGTGTGTTTAAGGTTTGAACACTTCAGAAATAGACAGCTAAATGATCGCAGTTACACTCTTTGTTTTTACTAGAGTAAAAGAGCTCTGCGGGCTTTTGCTGGGGCATTATCAAATATGGCCTGACAGGAATAGTCTGTATTAAATCTGAATAACTTGTCCTGGTTTCTATTAACCGATAAAGATAAGACTTTCAGATATACATTACTTTTACGCACGTTTTAATAATGTTATTAAACGGTAAAAAGTAAAAACACAAATTAAAAACATCGAAATTCCGGAGGTGGAAATACTCTCAAATAAATAACCAATTTTACAATGTTCTCCAAAGTGTCCCACAGATGTTAAGCATGCAAGCTTCACCCAAAAAATACTCGGCGAAATGAAATATTACATTATTACAAAATCTGGTGTGTAAACAAATTCAAAGTCTGTCACGGAGAGGCTTCTGCAAACTTACCATCGCGGAAAAACTGTGCACTAACATGTTTACGGATTTGTGGTGCCCACTCAAGAAAAGAGTATTCAGTTCAAAAACACTTTGCGTGTTTTAGGGGGGCGAGCAAAAGGGAACCAACCAGCAAAATAAAAAACTGTAGCCCCCCGGAAAGACTATTCTCTCCTGGAAGATCACGATGGCCCCGACGGTCAGATATGTGCCTCAGAAGCAGGACGATAATCCATCAGAAAACAAATGGTTAGATCCTGCCCTTCACGTGAGTCGAAAAAAATGCAGATATTCGTCGGATTTGGGTCGAAAAGTTTCTCTTGGAAAACCCTCTGTTCTCCCTGCTCTCCTGGCTTCTATCACAGTGCTGCCGTCCCCTGGCTTGAGCTCATATTAGCAAAAGAGCCGCTTCTTCGTCTCCCCCTTGGACTCCTAATAGAACGCATTCATGACTATTAATATTACAGGAATACTTAATAATAAGGAAAGAATGGTCGGAAATCGGGCGTGAAGCGGAGGACGCAACTCAAGGCAGGAGTCTGCGCTTAAATGACGTCCATTGAAAGGAGGAATCAGTATATCTAATCAGAGGTGGATGAGAGAGAGGGAGTGAGATAGGAAGAGGGAGTGAGATAGGAAGAGGGAGTGAGAGACTGTTGAGGGAGTGGAGAGAGGGAGAGACAAAAAGAGGGACATACACTCTCGTCAGACGAATCAGAAAGAGAGAGAGGGAGGAGGGGGGGGGGCATTTTAAAAGGGTCCCAGGGCCAAAGCGCAAAAGTGAAAGAAAGACATAGGAATGAAGGGGAGGTGGACCACAGTAAGAAGAAGCCTTGGAAGGAAACAACTCAGAACTGGGTAAAAATATCCAGCAGACGATAGTGGGCATTCCGATCGGCTCATTTCGTCCCTTTGTTTTCCACCTCATTCTCTGCGCGAACTGCCCTCCATGGGTCTCCGTTCTCTCCTCGGTCTCGGCCGAATTTATCCACCGGTTCCTCCTCACCTCCAAAGCCAGAGTCACACCGGCTCACTTTTCATTTTAACCCGGAAAGACAACAAATAAATCCTCAAAGTCTATGACAGGGCCGTTTGGAACTTTTACGCACAGCTCCATTCTCTTTCCAGCTAAATCACACATTACAATATATATTTAGAAAACGGTCTGTGACTGGACTGTATTTTTTTAAATCCACACCAGCGAAAGAAAGTGCCTGTAAATTAAAAAATAAACACTGCAACATCAACGCGGAGGTGCCCAGCTTTTGTTTTCCTACTACCGGCCGTCCCTATCTGCAGGACGCGGCTGAAAACACGTTGGACTGGCTTCTCCACTCCCAAACAAGTTCCTGATATTACTGCCTAACTTAGTAAATGCCCATAACAACAATAACTCGGTGTATGCACTCCACACATGCAGGCACACACGCGAAGTGTAACGGCTCAAATTGCAGATGAAATTAAAACTGAAGGGTAAATGTCCATGCCATTTGAGCAGTGAATAAAGCAGGCTGCGAAAGTAAATACATCTGTCATTTAATTTTAAAAATATATATTTTAATAAAATATATTGTAAATGTAAAGTATGCTATTCTTCCAATACATGCCTTTTAATATTATGTTATATTTTAAAATGTGAATTTAAAGAGAACAGAATTAAATCATGGTGAGATTGTAACCATGCAACTAATGTAATAAATTCAGATTGTATTGCCATACTGCACAATTATTATTCTCATTATTATAACATTTGTTGTTATTTTTCCCATCATTTTTTAAAAATTCTTATAGTTTTAATTGTACCGTACAAAAAAACATAAAAATAATAATCCATGCAATTAATAAAAGACATGGATCTATTCATCCTGCTGCTGAATTAAATATGTTCCCTACCAGCTGTCAAAAAGAATGACACATTTGGATCCAAACAATACAATCTCTAAAATATCCAAGTTTAATTTTAAAGGTTAAATTAAATTAAATAAATGAAAGAGGAGCCCCTTACCTCGCAATCTTCATATTTAATGTTATCAGTTAATTTCCAAAGCATGTTCATGGATTGTTGAGGTGGATATTGAGTATAGGTTTCGCCTTAGTCTTGTTTTCACTCAGTGAATTGTGCTCCCCGCTCAGAAAAACTACTTTTATTGAAGCTGTGGGCTGCTGTCTGTCTTGCGCTCTGAGGTCTCCCTCTAATGGTGGAAGTGAAGGGCTGGAGCAGCTCTGTAATAACACTGGCACAGGGCCTCATTAGCATATCAACAGCCGTTTGATTCCCCCCATCTGCTCACACAACACCAATGGACAGCGCACAGGTAAAAACTAAAGCAGCAAGACGCTACACATGCTTAACATTTCTACTGTTCAGCGAGGTGTTTGTTATGGGGATAGGGGGGGATATAGCATGGGGACCTGCATGCACCTGGGACGGTTTTTGGTACATTTTACAGTATTTTCAAAAAGGGAAGGACTACAGGAATGCTATTTTAGCGATGTAGTTACATTGATTTGATTAAAAGGAAAAATGCTATGAAATAACTTTTTTTTGTCCCTTGATGACTTTTCTAATACTCGATGTGAAAACAGCATGCCTATGCAAATACACCACTGTCACACACTTTGTTGCCAGCCTTGATTTTCTAACTCCCAAACTGTTATTTTAATCCCATTGAGAGTGGAGACCTTGAGAGGCTATTCTTACAATGTTATGTTAAAAAGGTGAACCATTCCAAGCCGCTCTACAGGTCCATTGACTACCTGTAAGGGCGCAGGGTTGAGGGGGGGGGGTGTAAATAATTAACACAACAACATGGCCTTGTTTCATTTGAATGAGCGGCTCGGGAGCCCGGCTCTGCCCTGACGCCGGCCCAGCATTCACCTCAGCAGGTCGTGGGTCAGCAGACAGGTCGCCAGCTCTTTAAGGCGTTGGCCCCTCTCGTTCAAAACCCGTATTACCATTTTTGGTGGAGTGCCTTTTTTACGAGCAGTTGTTATTAATGAGAATGGAGCGATGAAACTGGCTGATGCGGGTGCCTTTCTGGAGATGTGGCCTGGCCGTCTGTGGGGCTGATCTGTTCTTTAACGAGGATTCTTGTAGCAGCAGTTTAAATCCTCCACACCTCACCGAAACAATGCCAGGTTTACAGGGAAGACCTTAACGAAACTCTACAGAAAGTGCATAATGGGATACTTTGTATTTTTTAGGTTTAAAAACATGTAATACGAATTTGGAACAGCTTTTAAAAAGTAGGCTACATTTATAATAAATTGGATTTTACCTCAAAGACGCAACGAGATATTTTTGAATAAGGGCTGCGTTTCGTCAATACTCCACTTTTAAGAAAAAAAGAAATGTATGCTTGTTTAGACACATTTGTAATTTCTATTAAAACACATAAGATTGTATAGGCCTATTAAACGTGTGTGGAGTCCTTCCAACATCATGCAAATAACATCATCAGGTTTCAGAGAAAAACAAATATGGACAAGTTGACACTTAACCGCAAGAGTTTCCAAAATGAATTATATTAACTTCTTCCTGACAGAACAAATATATACGCCTGTAAAATAAACAAGTGTTGTGTAAACACTGTATACAGTCTTTTCGGTGCCTGTGCAGGCTCATCATACAACAGGTAGAAACTTTGACAGTTTTCATGGGCTTCCACAGCTGTGTCTTTGTCTTAAAGTGAGCGACTCTTACCTGCCAATCCCCCATTTTGCCCATAATTGACATTCTTTGTCTTCTGCTGCCTTTGGTAGTTTTCTTGTCGATCCCGTGCCGTGTCTATCTCATTAAGCTTCCGTTCCCAGAGTAAACCTTTTACTTTCTTACCTGGACGGAATCGCCTCACCTGGCCTTAAAAAAACCGGTGCGGGGCTACCTGATGACGCATGCGCAGTCTTTCGGGTGTGGACGATGGGGAGAAACTACCTGATCACATTTGACTAGGTGCCCGATAGGCCTAAACTGTAATGTTGTGGTCGCTAATGGACAATCAAATGACTTTTCTTAAAACGATGATGGTGAAAACGAACAAAGAAATATACATTTGACTTATTAAGTGGAAAAGTCAGTTTAAGCTTTTTTCCCCAACAGGCAATTTTACATAAAGAGTTCGTACAAGACAACTTGTGATGTGATGTATGGTATAAAATATATACTAATACAAATAATAATGAATAAACGTGTTTTTAGAGAATGTGCTAAAACTGTAAATTAAAGAGAAAGCAAAGCAAAAATAATATTATTTTTGTATGTTTCATATGTTTGTCTTCAACTGACAAATAGTTTTTAAGAAGATATGTTTGTTTTCTTAGCTTTTCTTCTGGTAGAAACCATGAATTCTCAAATGAAACTGTGTCAAGTTAAAAACTTGAAGGTTAACTGCCAACATCATTACTTCTACAAAGAACGCTATACCCTGCTATTGTGAGGGTCATTATTTATTTATCCACTGTTTATTTTCTAATACATACTTATGTAGGCCCCTCGGGCCAGGAGCGAATGAGCTCTCCCTTTTACGCACGCACGTACACACACACACACACACACACACACACACACACACACACACACACACACACACACACACACACACACACACACACACACGCACGCACACACCTTTTTGTCATTGCTTTGCACACGGGAAGCGTTGCATGGATTTACATTTAACACTTATATTACATATTGGACACACTTTTTACGCACACTTTATTTGTGCCTTTTTCTCCAATATATTCGTTATACTTGTGTTTTTTCACAATTGCATAATTCCACATAGAATCTATAGATTTGTTTTTTTTGTGGTGTTAATATTTAAAACAATTGCCTTCATGTTTGACTTCAAAGGCGAACACATTTTAACTGCACACACAATACCTGCAGCTATAGACCTTCACCATGGACTGGACAAAAGAGAGGGAGGTGGAGGAGGGGGGGATCAAAAATATTGTTTGGGGCTCTATAAGGGAGGAGTAAGTTTTAAAGCAGAGCTGTCTGGGAGTGCAGGAGCGGGGTCCCTTTTGAATATCCAGCCTGTTTAAAAGGCTTGGTTTCAACCACTTCCACCATCGCACCGGCCTCGGGCTACTTCCTAAAACTGCGAGTTGTGCTTAACAGGCTGCACCCCAAGCACTTTGCATTCATATTTGACACGAATGAAAATAAATGATTGTGGTAATTATATTGCATTAGTATTATTGTATTTGTATTGGCTGTAGTATGATAATTATGCTGTGTTCCTTTCATTGAGAAAATGTTGCAACATACAAGGAACCTTCTTATTATTGCCTCTGCTCCATAGGTGTTTTGACATTTTGACCATGACTGGGACTTGTTCTTTTGCCCCGCATGGAAAAGTTGATTAGAATATTACAAAAATGCCCAGCTTGATTTTGTTGGCTGCACACTCTCTCCAGCTGGACGTGCCTGACTGCTGAATTAACCATCCAGTCACAAGAAGTAGCTCCGTGAGATCATGAAATTGATGTCTGCTGAGTGAGAAGACTTCAGGCCCTTTGAATGAAACGCTGCTTCCCATGGATTATAAATTGTATTATAGCGCCACCTTGCTTCTGGAGAAAGGATAACATTTAAGACAAAATTGCAGGTAATTGAAACCAAATGAGAATGTGTGCGCAAGCATTCCAGTAAGTGAAAAAAAACAATGCCATTCAAAAAAGCAGGTGGTCACAAGGAACACGTTAAAATTAGTAAAATATATAACATGGCCATGGGTCGAAATTCAGGCAGGTTTTGTTTATTAGCCTACCTTTCCAACTTAATTGGACACATTCATTGGAGTATGGTTTAGTCATCTTTTTGATTTCATTCACCTGTCTGTTTTCATGTACTTTAATCATACTTCCAAGACTTAACCTGCCCATTTTCACGGTAATCACCCAGCAGGGCTCCACTACTGAAAACACACATTCCGATGTGAGTGAAGATGTGTGAGAGTGAGTGTTTTGTTCTGCCTCTGTGCAGACATGTATATCTGAGTGCAAAACAGAATACATGTAAAAGTATTAAAATAAAAGCAAAATAAGTCTATTAGAAGCTTAGGTTGTACTTAAAAAGTAGCAGAATATAATCCTGTGGTGCCATCTAGTGGTGATGAAAATAAAACAAATGTATCTGTCATATCAGTTAGGAAATTAGATTATAGGAAGACTTTCTTGTAAGCAGGGTTCAGTTTCCACACTGTTTGTATTTTTTTCTACAGCAATTAAATAATACATTTCATTATGGCATATCAAACAACAGAAGCCGTTATTTTCCTTAGAGCAAATCACTCTGAAATAATGCTCTGTTGTCTAATGCACATCAATGTGGAAACAGATGGGGACGCTTTGCTCAAGGGTACATAATCAGTCTTGGGAGGTGGCAGTGTCAAATGATATGCAACAAATGGTGCTATTACCAACGTGTTAATGAATCGTTAATCCTACACATTATGTTCCATTATTGATTTAGATTGCTCCTGTTATTTTCTGTATGCATAGATAAATCAAGACATTGAATGTATTGTGCAAAATAGACTACGTTTTTATAAACATAATTATTTAAATGTATCTTAAAACCATAGGTTGAACAGCATTTAGAGAGTTTGACATACAGCTGCGTTCAGGGGGAAATTAAGAGCGAAAAGGGTAAGTTTTAAGAGAAGAAATGTCTAGGCGAACACATTTTAGAAGGTTTTATTTGTGACTTTAATGTATTATGCACGATATACTACGTTTTATAAACATAATTATTTAAATACATCTTTAAATTGTTTTGGTTTTACAGGACTCATAGGAGTGCTGGACATTTCAGCTGCGTTCAAGTACAGGGAAGTTAGGGAGAAATTGTTTGTTTGAGGGGGGAAAAAGCCAAAACCTTGCGCCAAGTTTTGTTAATCTTTATGTCAATAAATCATGTTTTCATGAACGCAGCAGCACCTGCTTCCCGACCACTACGGCCTACATTTCCCATCAGTCACCCTGCCGCGTTTTGTGTGTACCACTAAATTGTGCTCGGTGGAGAACAGGCTGCCGTGTGTTGACAGTAACAGAGGACAAACTGAGAGCAAGGTTGTATGGAGCATACTTGTGGTTCATGTTTTCATACTGCTTTTTTAGACGTTTAAAGCTGTAAATACAATACAAACAATGGCGTGTATATTATGTAATCCGTCGTGTTAGCATGTCTGCAGCAGCAACACAGATGCTAGTTTGTGGTAGGCGTGCATGGCTAAGGCTCTGTGCTAAATAAGCTAGCTTTATATAAGAAAGCCTTACACACACACACATAACCCACTGTTGGTCCACAATGTAACTACTTCTGATTTCTTTTAAAACAGACAAGGGTTTCAATTGAAAAACTCTCTTTAATGATACAATGTTTCTATACGTGCTGTTTCCTCAGCTAGTTAAGTGTACCACCTCTGCGTTGCAGCATTCAGACAGTCCTTTTGGTGTCTTTGCACGTGCAAGCAGAGGTTGAAGAAGCACTCAGATCTTGTACTTGAGTAAAGGTAGAAGTACCAGAGTGTAGGAAGAAAAATGTACAAGAAAAAGTCTTGCATTTCAATAATACTAAAGTAAAAGTACAAAAGTATTAGCATCAAAATTCAGTACCTAAATTAAAAGTACTCATCATGCAGATTGGCCCATTTCAGAATAATATATTATATATTTTGTTTTATAATTATTAATGCATTAAAGTGTTATCAAAGCTGGTAAAGGTGCAGCTAGTTTTAATGACTTTGTATACTGCAGGGTAGCTTGTGAATTTACTCCAGGTGGAACTAAGGTCTGATTTAAGAGTTGATTATATTTTACATAATTAATACAAATCTGCAAAGTAAATAAAGGTATACAATAAATGTAGTCGAGTAAAAGTACATAAAGTACCTCTGATTGTAGTGGAGTAGTATACTCGAGTAAATTACAAGTCTCTAGTACTTAGTTACTTTCCACCACTGCAGCTAGCCTTATCTGAGTTAGCCAGACACACAAATATGTATCCTCCGTTGGTCCACATTGTAACGATTTCTGATATTAAACAGACAAGCACTACTGTGTCAGAGCGGGAGAGCTCTCTTTAATGACACAATGTTTCTCTACCTGCTGTTTCCTCATCTAGTGTTGTGTAACACCTCTGTGTTGCAGCATTCAGACAGTCCTTTTGGTGTCTTTGCACTTGTAAGTTTATTATGTATTCAATAGGAAGCTGTCTGAATTAAATAGTTAATGTAGGTCCACTCATTAGCCGTTTTATTTGCAGCTGTCCAACATGTCTGTGGATTGGGTAGGATATGGTTACGCGGCCCTCATCGCTTCTGGGGGAGTCATAGGTTACGTCAAAGCAGGTAACCTTATATTCTTGTATGTTTGTATTATTGTGTATGCTTTGGTTGTGGATGTTATCTATTTCATTCAATTATTTTCATGGCATATAAAACTAAAGTGTGTTACTCCCACACACACCAGTCTGTTCATGCTCTTCAGTCCTTGATATCATAAATGCAGGTGTTGATGTGCTGTGTGTTCTCTTTCAGGCAGTGTCCCCTCTCTGGCTGCTGGTGCTCTCTTCGGCGGACTCGCAGGTTTCGGTGCCTACCAGATCTCCAATGACCCTAAACAAGTTTGGGTGTCCCTTGGTAATTATACTGACAACACTGTTTGTGTCCCATAAGGATCATTTCAATTTCTGAACAAGTTGTATTACATCTTAGTTTGTTCATCCTGTGTCTTCCAGCTACATCAGGAGCTCTGACTGGTGTGATGGGAAAGAGGTTCTACGGATCCAGGAAGTTCATGCCAGCTGGCTTGATGGCTGCAGCAAGGTATTTGTCATATGAGTAAACTGATTTATTTTGCATACATGAACATATTCAAGGAGAGGTCAAAAGGATGACTCAGACAAGTTGTGGTGGTTGCCTCTATGAAAGACCATGTACTTGATGAATGTCTGTGATAGGCTCATTATATGGACCTTTTCTGTTGACCCCAGACGATGGGCCAAATGTCAAAAACAGAGATGTGATTTTTCATTTTTTTCCCTGTTTCAGTCTTGTGATGGTGGGGAAGCTCGGTCTGTCTCTGCTCCAGAAACCCCAGGAGTCGTGATGGAGTGAAGACTCTGAGGCGTACCCTGTGACCTGTTTCATGTCAGCATCTCTCTTTCACTGTTGACCGTTAATGTCATTTTGTAAAGTGTATATTTGAGGATGAAATATAGAACATTGTTTATATAATAGAAATGGTTGTCTTGTCCTTTTTGTATGAGTGCATTATGACATTTCATTTATTTATTTGTATAAAATGTTTACAAAATGCTCAATTAATTCATTGCATAATACAAATAGGTGTGCCATTGTCTTGCGGCACAGAATAAGTTGAAGGGATCGTTTTTGTTGCCATTACAATTTGTTATGAAATTTAAAGCAGAGGGAGCTGTTCATAAATTACTGTTAGTGCTTTTCTATCAGTATTAAAACAATACTTGACAACAATAATAAACTACAGTATAAAAATGAAAAGCTATGCTACATTTGAATTGTACACAGAGTATCTCAACACTAACAGTAGAATTGGCTCACACTGGAGTACAGTGGGATTGTCTAGCAGTCTTATTTCAGCATCATGGCAACCGTCATCTCCAAAACATGTTTTACAGTAACATCTTTTGGGTTCTCTGGAAACAGAATTATGCAATTGTGGCATGAAAAATGTCTCCTGAAAGCATGTCTTTTGAGACCAGTTTGTTCCCCTACCAGCTACCTCTGTGGATTTTTTTTGTAATTTGTTTCAGGGGAACATACTGCATTCCCTGTAGGGTTTCAGTGTGTTTAAAAACTGTGCTTGGGGTTAACATCCATTATCTAAAGGTGTATGACTTGTCCGATCTACCGAGTTCCACCATATTTGGATGTCCAGTCCACTCTGCCGTGGACCGGCTGCACGGGGGGGGCTCGGCTAAGGAGATTCCCAGAAGTCTTCCCCAGGGCTGAGTAGCTGCTCCCCTTCATCTGAGTCCTGTCTGCCCTCCTCTTCAAGCCCTCGTAATCTAGAGGAACACGCAAGTCAGTGAGTTTTCTCTAATAAAAACAGTATTAAACACATAAGCTATATAGCCAGGTAAAGCTAGCAGGACACATCCACATTAGCTAGACAGGATTTTAGGATTTTAATGTCATCAGTAGTCAAAGCACTGGACCATAACAATACAGAAGGACAGCTTTGTTCATCTGAAAACATCAATCTAAGAATCATTATAAAAGGCCAATACCTTCATTACTTTCGCTCAAAGAGGAGTTGGATACAGGCTTGGCCTTTGCAGATTTAGATTTCTCTTTTTTGTTATCAGGAGAAGAGGAAGGATTGACTGAAAGAGTGAAGAAAGAGGAGAAACACAGTACCAGTAAGTAGGTGAGAAATTGATTAGAGAAAGGGAGTAAAGGAGTACGAATAGTCATGGCAAACTGATATTCAGAAAGATGAGGGAGTGAAACCGTTGGAGCTGGAAAAAGGGGGATCAAGTGAAGTTACTAGATGTAAAGGTATTAAGAATAGCTTGCATGATCAAATCTTACTTTTGTGCTGACCAGCCAAAGGAGCGAGATGGATTCTCTGCCCCACTGAGCCCACCTCTTTCTTCTGGAATGAAGGAATATAAGCGCCAGAGAGGTTGTATTTGGTGCTCACAAAGTTCCCTAAAATAGAAGAGAACATAGTTAATGTGTCTTTATTTTAATGCAGTAACCTCCAGGTACCTCGCTAGCATTAGCTGCTTCTCACGGTCATATAAGATTAAATAATGTACACCATTGAAAACATACAAATGAAGTCACATTTAGAAAACACACTTAATAGATGTTCTCACACATGGCTTTACTGATACAAATGACGTGTGAACGTGTGTGAGGTGGCTACTGCATATGCAAAAGCTACTGAGGACCCAAACAAATGACTAAGGCCGAGTGATTGAAGTCATTCAGCTTCTGCAGCGACTCCATCCATCTGCAGCTCACAGATGCTTATCGGGGTAATTAGTGAAAAGCCTTATTGTTCCCCTAAGAAGATGTTGTGGTTCTAGTGCAATCTAACATCTATTTAGCAACTGGAGCTCTTAGTTCTCTGGCTAAACTGTGTATTTGTACCCTTGTCTCCTGCAGAGTCTTTGGCAGTTGCGTTCATTCTCATGTTAAGATGCTGGGTGAATAACTGAAGCTTGTTGCATCAGCAAACACACTCAAAATACAACACAGAAGTTCACGTGAAATAAAATACCATTGGAGAGATCCATTTTCTCCAGTATTCTTTCTTTAACAACAGTTTTCTCTGGCGGGCTATCGTCAGATTTAGAGGCATTGTCTTCTAGTTTCACATGGAAAAGGAGGGCCGGAGAAGAAATGCATGCAATCAGAAAGTAGAGGAAAAGGAAAAACAGAAAATGTGAGATAAATATCATGTTAGCACTCAGTTAGAAAAAGGGTTATTGTTCTTGACTGTAAAGATACAAATAGGTGCGTTCATACGTGTATCAAAACAAACGCTGTGTGTGAGTGTGGGGACAAATGAGTATGGGGTGCAGTTGAAGGCCTTTTAAGGAACACTTGATCTTACACCGACAGTCTTAATCTCATGAATAAGCAATGGAGAGGGAGAGACAGCGTGAAAGAAAGAGACAGAAGAAGAAGAGAGCACAGCGGGGACCCATATTGTGTGTCTGTCTACATGACAAATGATTTATAGAGATCTCCCTTCTCTAAAGTCGCAGACACTTTAGACTCACTCCTATCCCTGCTTTGTCAATGGCTCCATAACTACTGATCAGGAGACATTAGCTGCATCATTAGCATGTAGTGCCTTGGTGGCACAGAAGTGTTGTATCATGTGACACTGACAGTAGCCAGGTTTCCACTGCATGGCATAATGAGGCAGGTGGAGGTGAAGTCCTGATTCTTATCTCTGATAGATTTGATTTTGTTAACATGTTAGTCAAATCTGGACACTTAACACCTCTACGTTAGACATTAGTCCTCACCTGCTTTGGCTCTCGTGACTGATAATCCTCCTCCAATAGGAGCGAGCGGTTTATTTACAGTGTTTGAGGAGTTCTCCCACAAGTCCCGCAGCGTCAAACCACTCAACTCCTTATCGCCAGAAGAAGTCTGATGCTTGCCGATCAACCCTAAAAGCAACAGGAATGATGTGATGAAAATCAACACAAACATTTAAATCACCACGTTGAATTTTTTCTGACACTCTCTGATCAGGTGGCCTAAAGTATGATGATAACGCTTTGTTTTTAGGACCAATATTTAGGGAAATTTGCATTTGGACTTGCTGATTCTTAGGTTTTCTTACGATAGTTAGTGTCATTCAGCATTAAACACTAGATCTACCAGCAGTTATGCTTTACAATAGCTCATCTGACATTTTTAACAACGCATATAAAGACTGTAAGAGGGGAAATTATGCCAAACTATAACAACAATTAAAAAAATTGCTTGTAAAATGCTACAATTTGGTGCTCTCTTTTCCAAGGATAAGGATTGCTAATCATGCAGTCTTACCTGGCATATATCGAGACTGGCTCAGGTAGTGCTGTCGTGCAGCAGATCCTGGGAGATTGGGGTCCATTTGGCCCATCTTAACATTGTTGGGTAGCTTAGTGACTGTGCTGAAGGAATACAGAGGCTTCTGCTCCGACGGCTTGGGCCTGAAAACATAAATGAGACACTTTAAGAGTCTGTACCGAAAAAGCAACTCAATGCATCACATAAAGTCAGAATATAAATCCTACTCCTATGGTGGTAATAGATAAAAATAGTTAAATCATTTAGGGAAGTTAAGGACATTTTGCATACATATTTTACTTAAAGGGGTCCTATCATGCAAAAATGCACCTGTACGTCTTTTATACATGAATGTGTGTCCCCGGTGTGTCAGGGAACTCACCAAGTGTCAGAAAACACAACCCTCTCTCTTTTCCTACATACCCAAAATCTCTAAAAACGGGGCTTTAACGGATCTGATACAGACTGATACAGATTTGAAAATAGTCTGACCTCAGTGACGAGGAGCTCCGCCTATATGGCCAACTCTCCACCAATCAGGGGAATGAGAGGTTGCCGTGGCATTCCAGGTAACAGCATGGTAACAGCATGCTAACAACATGGTAACAGCATGGTAACATGACGCTCGTAACCCGGCCCCCTCCTTTGCAGCCTTATATAGGTATGGCCCTACAATATATTATTCCAATATAGCATGATAGGTCTCCTTTAAACTAACTCTTGAGAAATGCGAGAAGCTTGAGGTAAATCACAATTCACCAATATAGTTCTGTTAGGACACTTACTGTGGGCGATGCTCCTGAGGGCCCCTCTCCTCCTGAGGGCCCCACTCCTCCTGAGGGCCCCACTCCTCCTCTGCGTCCCCCAGGCTGGGCTTCTTGGAGTCGGAGGCGGCGGTTTCTGAGCGGTCCGATTCCTCCCAGCTGTCTGAGGTCTTGGCGACGGTCTGGCCCCAGCGACGACGGCCGCTCTTCAGCTCCGCCATCCCCCCCCCACCAACGCTGTTCTCACTGCCCAGCGATGCAGCTTTCTGCAAAGTAAGGGACCAGAAAGACTCCTTTATGTATGAAAAGGTAGTGTTTGAATCTGCATAAACTCAGGCGACTCAATTATTTGATTCAACAAGAAATACAATAATGTTTGTGATACTCACTGCATGACCTCCTGCTTTACTCTCAGTTTGGGGAAGGGGGATCTGCTGAGGAGGATGATGATGGTTTTTGGAGGAGGAAGTGGAGGCTTTGGAGTCAGAGGAAGACTGCTGGGTATCAGCCTTGGACTCCGAGACCGGCGGCCTGGCCTGGACCTTCTTGATCTCCTGGCTCTGAGGTCGAGGCCCTAAGATCTGGCCTACCTGGAAGTATGGGTAACGCAGGGACTGGACAGGGAGAGGGAGGAATACAGATTGTTCTTTAGCTATTCCGATTAGTCCCTGAGCATTGTTCACTATGAATCAACATTTCCCACTCAAACCTGTAAGGAAGTTTGCTTTAATGTATACAATGTGAAAATGCATTACAAAGAATAGCAATGTAGACTTTATCCTATTCAAATATGTATATGTTGTGTGGAGTAAGTTAAACATCATTTGAATTGTTTCCTTGGAATCAGCTAAATCTGGATGTGATCCTACACCTGGGAGCTTTGTAAGCAGAGAATGGAAAAGTCCCTCCCTCTGGTAAGGTGTCCCATGGCCCACAGAGTAATCAAACCGTCTCAGTGGAGGAAATTATGTTTAATCGTGTAATGACCTGACCATGTTTTCTGCATGATATGGATACGTGATGCAGAGGGCCAGAGGGAATCCGGTATGACTTCAGAACTAATAACAAATGACTGGGATTAGGATGCTAATGCAAATAAAGCTATGGTTTCTTATACTCTCCCCCACCTGTACAGCAGTGGGTCTTTTTTTGGGGTCCCACTGCAGCAGGTCCCTCATCAGTATGATGGCCTCGTTGCTGGCATTTGGGATGAGGGTCTTCAGGTGGGTGGGCACACATTGGGGGAAGCGAAAGTTCATAGCAGAAGCTAGCTGGTAGCCCTCGGACCAGTCCGTCTACGGGAGGAAGACACAATCAGATGGTTAAATGTAAGTTTTATTTATTAAATCAGGTGTTTTTTATGTTGTTTTTGTCATTCTGTTTCTTCTCACCTTTTTCACGGTGCCTAGAACTTGGCATATCTTAAAGATCTCATCCACTTCACTGTTTCCAGGGAAGAGAGGTCTGAGAGTGTAGAGCTCAGCCATGATGCAGCCCACCGCCCACAGGTCAACAGGAGAGCTGTAGGTAGACGATCTAAGCAGGACCTCTGGAGCCCGGTACCTGGACAGAGGACATAATCAAGTAAACAAACGTGCAATCAGGGTATTGCAAAAAGTGAATCTAATTTGCATCTGTACCAAAGCAGTTAAGCACACTGCAATGGATGCACATGTTCTCCTCTGTGTTTTAGATGGCGATTCATTATGCTTACCATCGGGTTGAAACATAGTCTGTGTACGGAGGTTTGGAGCGGATCTCTCTGGCCAGTCCAAAATCTGCTATTTTCACCAGTTCTGGACCCATGCACAGCAGATTCTCTGGCTTCATGTCCCGATGAAAGAACCCTGTGGATTGGTAAGTATTAAGCTTAAGTCATTGTGTAAAGCACATTGCCAGATTACAATCATATGCAATTGTTCTACATTAGTATTTAAAACTTTAGAAACATTTAGAAGAAGAAAAAGGGAAAACGGTGGAGCTGATGATTGGGTGTATATAGTCGTTGACAGCGCTGGCCTTGGTTCAATGGTCTGTGTATTCGACATTGACATTTTGAACCATGGATACATTGTTCCTTTAACCTTAAGCAAGCTGTTTTAGCAGCCTGTTATTGATGGTATACGGTCTATTTCCACATGTACATTAAAGGGAATTTATCTAAATGTTGGCAGTGCACTTAGCACTAAATTACAATATACACCCAAACCAGCTACTGAAAGGTTATTCTGATTATGAACAGGTAAAGAATGACAGAGTAAAGCCTCTTACCATGCTTATGTACAAAAGCCAACCCAGATATCACTTGAAACAGGATGTTCCTAATTTCATTCTCTGAGAACATCTTATTCTCTCTAACAGAAAACCAAAGAGATAGAAAAGGAAGGAAAGAGGGTTAAAAGAAAAATGAAAGAAAAGCAGAAAGAGAGATCCTGAAAAGAACATGCATTCTGGTTGTGTGGAAGAAATTAGCAGCTAGTGCAAGGTAACTATAAAATCCCCCAAAACGTACACACATCCATTCTTTAAAGTAAAGCAGAGCAGAAGGTTAGATGATTAAGGGTTTACAAACGACAAGATTCTTATTTATTTATCACCAGGTTTCCAATTTCGAACTTCGATTGAAAAGCTCCACTTTTTATAGCTTTTTAATTTTCTCAATATGCCGTGAATCTTGCAGAATGCAACCACTGTCATGCACTTGCAGGCCATGAAGGGAACACAGTGCACCTACCATGTTTGTGAATAAATGACAGGCCTTGTAAAATCTGAAAGCTCATGTTTCTTGTAATTGATTCAGGGAACAACTTTTTTCTGTAAACATAAAATTGATAGGATTCAGGAAGAATCAATACAGGAAATCTCTTTTTTTTCCCTTGGTACACACTAACTCAGTGGTTCTCAAAGTGGGGGGCATGACAGGGGGGGCGCGAGAGACCAGGAGGAAAAATGGTTATAAAAAAAAAAAAGAAAAAAAAAAAAGAAAATGTTTTAAAAATTATTGATNCACTCAAATCATGTTCACATGGATAGGAAACTAAATACATTTGCACACATCTTGTGTCCATATCTATCTTTCTGTTGTGGTGGTCATGCCACAACCGTGCACGTGCATGCATACGCGAGTCATGGTAAAATATCTGGATTAAGAGGTTGCTTTTTCTTTGTAGAGCATGAAAGAAAGGCAAAATGAATGGGCTGTGATTTTAGTATTTTTAAGCAGAGGTCAATAACTTGTACGGCCCTCGGAGGATATTGTAAAAATTGAAATGGCCCTTGAGAGGAAAAAGGTTCCCCACCCCTGATCTAAAGTATTAAGATCATCCTCACCTTCACTTCTCTTAAATTCATACATTCTTCCCATGAATAAAACTTCCTTTTCATCCTGTGGGGGAAGTCAAAACCAGATATTAATGATTACATGCAACACACTACATTTGCAGGGCATATAACCGACATACAGTATACTAGTTAAAATTCCTTTGTTTACCTCCATCAATAATTCTGCTTTTTTGAGGTGTTTCAAATTTCACCTCATTTCATTTGAAGTATAAAAGCAGCAAAAGCTCAAGACATAAAGTGACAGAAATACATCTTTACCATTTGCTTCTCTTCTTAAATGAAGTGTGAAATGCAGCTTGATTCAGTTGTATTAAGTTGTTATCGCAGTGTGTGTTGCTATTAAAACCACACCACAGCTGGTATGCGAGACACATTTACGACAGCTTATCTTCTCTGATCAGCGTTACCTCTCCCTCCACCTGCCGTTATGTAAAAGTCACAGAACGTGCACATATCTCTTTCTCCCCTCTGGTCACCTGCCAGTTTCTGTGGTCCCTTCCACAATGACAGCAACCCGACACACCCCCTCTACTTTCACTGCCTTTCACCGTCACCACCTGTATTGACTTGCATGGTAACCATATAATCAGCCGGTGGATGCATCTCCCTGGTTTCTTATCTATTATTGAACCCTTCTGCCACGCTGCTGGAACAAAGGCATGTTAGCCGGTTCGTTTGCCCTAGTGATGGTAGGAAACCAGAAGTCCTAAACTTCACTTTGAACATTGTTTTAGATGTTGATACAGGGTACAAGTACAATTCAAGTTCAGTTTTGTATATTTTTTTGAATGCATCCTTTCTAAAAGTGTTAAGGTGGGCAAATAATGCACAGAAATTGGTTTAGAAATGTGTAGGTAAAATTTCATTTGATATATAACGGGCAATTTCTTTAACGAATGTGTATATTGAAACTTAAACCTTGATATTATATACTTCCAGAGTGTGGTTATATTCAAATATCGCACTATTTTTATTAAATGTCTTGCTGTGATGACATTTTCCGAGTTATTGTTAGACTTGTTAAACAGTATTCGATGTAAACTAGGTTGTGTACTGTTTGAACTTTGGGAAATATTAAAATATTTAAGATTCAAAGATTTTATTTTCATACGCACAAAACAGAGTAGTTGTTGGCGATTTAAATCTTAGGCCCTAGGAGAAAGTAAAATAGTGCAATAAAAAAGAGTGCCAGTGCTGCAATAGAAGTTAAATGCAGGAATACCAAGTTAGTTATTGCACTTATATAGAACTACCAGTACTGTATGGTGCACTCACTTGTAAAGCTGCCCTTAAAACTAGCTAAAGAGCACATTTATACTTTGTCACAATATCAAAATAACCACAAATATTGTGATATTTTCATGCTATAACAAAGACACGCTAAAACAAAGAGGACAATATGTATATTTTAAAAAGTATCAATGGCCTCACCTCTTGATAGCCACCAGTTCTCCAGACTCGTTGCTTCTCCCCATCAGCACGCTGCCGTAGGTGCCGTCACCCAGCTGCCTCAGGGTGGTGTAGCGATTCATCATCTCTTAAGACGGTTTCATTAGGGTCTTAACTTTCCTTCTGCATAAGGGGGGGGGGGAACTGAGTAAATTCAAATGATCAAAAGTCTTTCATCTGCCTATTCTTGAGTAGAGTTAATATCCTAGAAGACATCATTTTTAAAAGGCCAGTATGTCACGATGCTCACCAACCCTTGCAGCTCCACACTCATCCTCCAGTGTCTGATCCGTTGTTAGAAAGGTTGGATCCTGCTCATGTAGGTCAGCCAAAAGTGGACACCGTGCCAACAGTTTGAAGCTTCACCCACTCCTGGAAATCACCAAACACAAGGGTTTTCCTTAGATCTACAAAGCTAAAGGAGGAGCACTTCTTGTTGTTCTGTCAGGGAGGAGGATTAGGCGTGTGTCTCACTAGTAGGAGGCACATGACCACCCAAGAGAGATGACAAAGCCAGCCCTAGGCAGATTAAGTCAACAGGGATGTAAATAGGATGTTACATCACCATCACGCTTACCGGCATCCACTACCTTCCCCAAGCACCCTGCCTGGAGGATCTGATTCACACCAAAGGCCTTAGTCATCATAATGTTGTGATGCATATTCAGCCAAAGGGCTTTTTTAACCGCACCTGTCAGACTGATATCGTTTAATTTCTCTAATAGTGAAATGCATAGCTGTCCACGGTGCTGTTTTAGGTTGTAACATACAATTATTGTATTATTATGCATATGTATCGCATCATAAATATGTATTCTTGCACCTGCCTCATGTATTTTAACTTAAAGCTAATAAGGTAAAGTGAGTAGCCTCCCTGAAATGTTGTAAGCCTAGTTTAACCTCTTGTATTAAGGCATCATGATGGGTTTATGTTCAGTTTCTCTTAAAGAAAGGCCAAGAGAAAGTCCGGGGTTTTAATGGTCGTAAAATGTATATTTTGATAACTGAAAGTACATCTACTGTATAGACCTTGTAGGACATGGTAGTTATTTTTCCCATTTGAACTATCCTCAAGGTGTAAACTATTCATTAAATGGGGGGGATTGCACTGTCAAAGAACCTCTTCTGATAATGAGAGGCTACAAACGTGGAGTTATGACCAATCATTGTTATTTTCTTTATCAACCATCAGAAGAATCTCTTTAAATGTCAAGGTTAAACAGTGGTAGCCCTGTGGACTGAAAAACAGCATGCATACTCTGACATAATCCAGGTAATAAAATGTAAAAAAAAAACAGTTTTTTTTTGGATGAACTGTTAATAGATGGATTGGTTGAAGAACAATGAAAAGCATACACACATGTAAAGCTATGAAAGCATAGTTTTGAGCATTAGTGTTAGGATTTGATTTCCATCTGTCAGCTATTTTCTTGAAACTTGAGTACATTTGTCGATCGCTGACATGCTGTATTTAGATTAGAAGAAATGAAGATGCAGGTAAACCAAGGGTTACCAAACTAAATAAGATCAGTGTACATTTCATTGAATGGGGCCATCCAAACAGTATGTCCAAACTGGATTGAGCTCTATGTCTCCTAATAATCAGTACAATTAAAAATATGTAAATGTTTATAGATTAGTTATACATTGTGCATGCTGTATATAGACCAGAAATGATTTCTCTCTCAGTGAAACAATAAGCTCTAAGACAAGAGGAGAAGCCAGCCAAAGGACTGCTGGCCTGCACTCAGCTTTCGCATATGGCAATCTGTTGTGGAGGGATTTAAAGGGAATTAAGAAAAGTATCCAGGCCACATGAAATTAGGAAGCTATTCAAGGTCAATTATATTGGAAACACGTGGACACTAACCGGACAGCGGAAAATAAACAGAATAATTCAATTGGATCATAAATTCTAAATGTCATTTCTTCACAAAGTACATTTGGAGTTAATTGATTCCCTTAAACTCTACTGTCATAAACATTCAATGTAACACACAGCAGGGAAAGACATCCAAGTCTAACTCCAAAAAATAACTGATATCATTCCTGTAAAAAATAAAAGACAGTGGAGTTCATCAGAAAGAGTTAAAACCAGAGAAACATTTGTTGTTGACATGTCTGCTTTGACAGTTCAGTACCTCAACCACCAATTTCTTTCAAACCCCCCTTTTCTTCTTTTTTTTCTTGCAGTTTTTAACTCACCATTTAGGGGCGTTGCTCCTTTCCGCGGCCGTTGTCTGCGCCTGCTGATAGCTCGAAGTTTCTTCAGATTAAATATCTAAAGCTAGCTCCTGCGATACTTTACGTGCGCGTGACTGCTCCCCATGGCAACGCACATACAAACGTGACGCTTGTTTCCAGGTGACGAGGGGCGCGCTCAGACGCATTGATTTCTGGGACTTGCGGAAGTGTTTTTTTTTTTATCTAAGGAAAACAATACATCCATGAAAACAATTTAAACCATGATTTAGACAAATAAAATATATACAGATTGAAATTTAGTTTTTCTGAAAGAAGTGTAATTGACTTGAAGTTGTGTTGCCAGTAATATTAACAGTCTTTGGCGAAGTTCTTAACACCTTTGAGTTCATGTTTTGAACTCGGCCACACAAAGCAAGAACCAAAGCGACAGGTAGCCTAATTTATGTTTTAATTGTTTTGTTATCCATGCAAACAAGTTTCAGACCCATAATGACAGAGATGAATTGTTAGCTGATGAACTCAAATCTGTCCGCCAAGGTGATTTGTTTCCAGGCTATTATTTACAGCATAAATGTTCAGGGCGACAAAAAGGGGTCAGTGAGACCTATTTACTTCATATCTGGACACTGTAGTGAATGTGCTCCACCACAAGATGGAGCCGTAGTTCTGTTCTGTGTTGATTTTCACATGGACCAGTATAGAGCTGTCAGACTCATCAATCTCACCGAAAGGTAAGGTAGGTAAGAATGGAGAAACCAGCTCGAGTGCGCTACAATTTAAAAGTATGCAGCCGAAAAAAAGACTTCCTTACAAACC